TAAACCCTTCTCGAGGGTTTAGGGTTTAGGGTTTAGGGTTTGGGGTTTTGGGTTTTGGGGGGGGCGGGGCAGCAGGGAGAGGGTTTGGGGTGGGGGGGAGGGGGGGGTGCGTATTCGAGGGTTTAGGGTTTGGTAGAAAGGGTTTTTTTTTCAGGGTTTAGGGTTTAGGGTTTAGGGTTTAGGGTTTAGGGTTTGTTCAGGTGTATGCGTGGATGGATACGCGTTTGCGGGAGATTTGTTATTTAATAAAAGATGTTTGTGCTGAGGCGAGAGATAGAAAGGCGCTGTGGCAGTTCAGGCTTTGTTACCCCGGTAAACCCTAAACCCTAAACCCTAAACCCTAAACCCTAAACCCTCGGTAAACCCTAAACCCTCGGTAAACCCTAAACCCTCAACAGAGAAAACACCACACACGATACACCATAAACCCTCGCTCTCAGAAACACTTAGCTTATCGAACCATCTCCAGCACATGAAAAACCCTCAGCCTTTTCTTGCGTCTAGGGTTTAGGGTTTAGGGTTTAGGGTTTAGGGTTTGCGTGTAGACAAAGAAGGCCAGAACGTATTCGCGGATGTTGGCTTGCTGCACTCCATCATCCCCGACCCCAAAGAAGACTCACGCACCCTCGCTGTAAACCCTAAACCCTAAACCCTAAAAAACCCTAAACCCTAAACCCTAGGTTTCTAGGGTGCTTGCTGTACACATGCATCCCCCTTCATTCTTCTCCACGCTAAACCCTAAACCCTAAACCCTAAACCCTAATTTTTATAAACAAGTGTAAACCCCAGCTGCAAGAAACCCTAAAACCTCCCTCTATCTCTCAACGCAAAGCAGTGTCGCTGAAGCGGGTCTAGGGTTTAGGGTTTAGGGTTTAGGGTTTAGGGTTTATGTGTGTAACGGTTTACTTTCTAGGGTTTAGGGTTTACACACATGCCAGTATTCCTTTTCTTCCGCAGCAGAACCTATCGTCTCTATAACCCCTCGTCTAGGGTTTAGGGTTTAGGGTTTAGGGTTTAGGGTTTAGGGTTTGTGTGCAGGACGTGAAGTTTCAAGTGGGGGACTTTCTGGTGTTATCTATTCTGAGGAAGCAGAGCAGCAGCAGCAGCAGCAGCAGCAGCAGCAGAAGGCTGGCCCCATACAAAGACCCAAAACTATGCATGCGTGAGGAGTGGATATACACCCCACGCCCCTCTGTGCTGCACCAGTCGCTGCCTGCTGCTGCTGCTGCTGCTCCTGCTCCTGCTGCTGCTGCTGCTCCTGCTCCTGCTGCTGCTGCAGCAGAGGGCAAGAGCGCACGCAGTGCTGCAGCAGCAGAAGAAACAGCAGCAAATAATAATGTACAAAAGGAAGACACAGAGATGCTTGTTGATAGAGATTCTCCTGCTGCTGCTGCTGCTGCTGCTCCTAAAGCAGCAGCAGCAGCTGCTGCTGCTGCAGCAGCAGATGAAGACACCAGCAAACAAACAGCTGCACAGCCAGCGGAGGATGCTGCAGCAGCTGCTGCTGCAGCAGAGAAGCAGCAGCAGGAGAAACAGCAGCAGAATCGAGAGGAAATGCAGCAAGACGAAGAACAGCAGCAGCAGCAAGATGAACAGCAGCAGCAGCAGCAGCAGCAGCAAGATGAACAGCAGCAGGAACAGCAGCAAGATGAGCAGCAACAGCAACAGCAGCAAGACGAGCAGAATGGAGAGCAGCAAGAGCAGCAGCAGCAGCAGCAGCAGCAGCAGCAGGGAGAGGATTCGGATCGCCCCCCAAGGTAGGTTCATCAACATTAGCAGCAGCTGCTGCAGCAGCAGCAGCTGCTGCAGCAATATTAGCTGCAGCAGTATTAGCAGCAAGATTGTTTCAGGTTTGTTGCTGCTGTTGCTGCTGCTGCTGCTGCGGTGTATGTACAGCGTAGCGCGGGAGGAAGCAGAAGAGGAAGCAGCAGCAGAAGACAGCAGCAAAAGCAGCAGCAACAAAGGAAAGGCAATTGTTGCAGAGAGCAGCAGCAGCAGCAGCAGCAGCAGCAGCAGCAGCAGCAAGAAGAGCAAAGCATCAGCTGCAGACAGCAGCAGCAGCAGCAGCAGCAGCAGCAAGAAAGAGGCAGCTGCGAAGGCTGATGAACCCTCCACAAAGAGACGCTCAGCTCGACTAGCCAAAGACAAAAAGTAAGTGCTGCAGCAGCAGCAGCAGCTGCTGCTGCTGCTGCTGTTGCTGCTGCTGCAACACCAGCTGCAGCAGCAACATGAACACCAGCTGCAGCAGCNCTGCTGCTGCTGCTGTTGCTGCTGCTGCAACACCAGCTGCAGCAGCAACATGAACACCAGCTGCAGCAGCTGCTGCAGCAGCAGCAGCAGGAACAGCAGCAGCTGCTCTAGCAATGCGCAATCTCCGGCAGCACAGCAGCAACAGCCGTTCTCCTTTCTGCTGCTGCTGCTGCTGCTGCTGCTGCAGCAGCAGCAGCAGCAGCAGACAGTGCTGCAGCGGGAGCTGCAGTCTTTTGTCACTTCTTACACT